TTCTTCCCTTGTGTATCCAACCAATATGCTGAATATGTACTGAGAGGGGCTGCTTTGTTATAAAATCATCAAGGCTTCAAAATTAGAGGAAAAAACATGCATTAGCCTGATGGCCCTACTCCTATACATGAAAATACAAAGGTTCGGGAAATTCTAGTAATGAAAATCTTGGCACAGAATTAAAAAACGGTTAACACTTAAATATAAAGAAGACCAGACTAATCACATACTACAACAACTCTTAAAATTGACAGATATACTGAAATGGCAAATATATTTGCCTTTTTAGGATTGATTGACAACAATAAAAGAATGAGAAATGCATCTGATGGAGTGGTGGGTTTTCAGTGAAAGCATTAGAAAGAATATTCACGTGCTATGATACATCTATATCTACAAAAGCCAGAATGCAGTAATATTCTCTCCAACACTGTATGAAAGCAGAAGTTGGACTTTGAAGAAGCAGGTCAAAGGAGTACAGTATTGAAGCTTTTGAACTCTGATGTTGGAGAAAGTGCCTAGGAATATCATAGATAACTAAGAAAACAAACAACTGGATCATAAAATGAATCAATCCAGAGATTTCATTTAAGGCAAAATGACCAGGTTCAAATTATTATATTCTGGACATTTGTGAAGGCCCAATTCCCGTGAGGAGTCCAAAATGCTGGGAAAGGTGGGAAGGAAAAAGGAACAATAACCATCAGAAAGTTGGAAGGATTTAATGAGAGTAGTGATGGGAGATGTGAAGAACCAGGTGGACAACAGGTCATCCTGGAGAAGATCTATTTATATGGTCACTAAGAACCAACAAAGATGGCCCATAATTACTGTTGTTGTTACTAATTTAAGTTGCAATCTGCATTTCTGAGCAAAATTTTGGTCATTATGTAAAAGTTACTGTATTGGGCAAAAAATGAAGCCAGAGTCTAACCAAACTGTTCAGAATAGTGAAGTCAGTTCTAAAAGGAAGAAAGGTGGTACAGGTAATCCTCGACTCATGATCACAATTGAACCTAACACTTCTGTTGATAAATGAGACAGTTGTTAAGTGAATTTTGCCCCATTTTACAACCTTACTTGCTGAATTATTGAGTGAATCACTGTAATTGTTAAGTGAATCTTGCTTCCCCGTTGACTCTGCTTGTCAGAAAAGGTGATCCTGGCACTCTGTAATTGTCATGAGTCAGTTGCCAAGCATCTGAACTTTTGATCGCGTGACCATGGGGATGGTGCAACGGTAGCTAACTGTGAAAAATGGACCTTAGTCACTTTTTTCAGTGCCATTATAACTTTGAATGGTCACTAAATAAACAACTGTAAGTCAAGGACTGTCTATAGGTGAGGCTGATCTAGGCTGACAAGGTTATGAATAAAGGGTAAGGCAACATGCTGAGACTATAAATACCATACATCAGATTTGTTCAAAGGTAGAAGCTGCATTTTCCCCAGGGCTCTTATTTAAACTGTGGACCTGCTTCCAGAAGATACTGTGATTGTTGCCGATTGGGATAGCTCTTGAAAAGTGATTAGATCAGCAGCGGGATCCTACCTGTTGCACTACCGGTCCGGTGATCATGCACCAGTCCAGTGATCATGCACTGGGCCGGTGATCACGTACATGTGCACCTAACACACACATGCAGCTTTCCCCACACCAGCTGAGGCCTGCAGTGCCAATCAGCTGAGAGGATAAAGAAGAGAAAAGCACAGGGGCGGGTGGGAGAGCTGATCCTGCGCTTTTCTCTTCTTTATCCTCTCAGCTGATTGTTGGAGGCTTTTTTCCCTCCTCTCAGCTGGAGGCCTTTTCTATCGTACCAGTTCGGCTGAACTGGTCCGAACCGGTAGCATACCACCACTGGATTAGATACATTCATAGAAGATAAAGTTTTAATAGCTGTTAGTTATTATGATTATACATTAGACCTGCAGTGTGTTTCTGAATGCTGCTTGTTGAGAAAAAAGGACGAAAGAGCTATTTGTAGGGCTGTGGAAATGGCAAGGGAGTGCTTTGTTACTTTGATAAAGGTTCAGATGAAGCACCTTGCAAAACTGGTTCACAAAACAACACAGCCCCTTTGTTTCTAAGAGAAAAATGAAATTGTTGTGTTGTTGATGTTCTCCTAATTCTCTTTACCTCCTCCCCAGCTTTCTTTGACCTTTTCCCTCATGTCCAGAACGCCCTGTACTGCTTTCTATTCCAGAATAATAAATTCTAGAATACAATATATTGGCTCAGTAAGGGGCAGGGACATTCTGGCATATTTGGGGAATGTCACAGTGAAGACTGGAACGTTCTGGAATGAGACCATGAGGTTGTGTACATTCTGGTCTCAGCAAGCATGAAAATTAACTGATAGGATCATTGGTACTTCAAGATGGGCCTACATTAGAGATGGGCAACTATGTCTTTACTGCCATAGTCAGCTGCCTCAGGAATTCTGGGAGTTGAAGTCCACTAAAATTGGATGGTTTAGGAATTCTGAGCATCTAAGTCCACAAGTCATAAAGTTGTTATAGTTGCCCACCCTGACTACCTCTGTGTGGTGGAATTTGATGCAAACGTCTGAAGGAACAATGGCCATGCAAAATTCTCCCTATAATAGCGTCACCACCTTTGAGCCAGTCTGGTGACTCAAAAGCTCTACTTGCTTCAAACACAGGTATTCCTTGACTTATGACTGTAACTGAGTCCAGAATTATGGTCCCAATTCATGCTGGTTTGGTAAGTGGATTACCACATTAGGTTTTGCAACCTTTTTACGGCAGGTATTAAATGAATCACTGTAGATCTTAAGCTAATGTAGCAGTTGTTAAACGTTGTTTCTTTTGACAGAAATAGGAAGCATATACTAGTTTCTAGCAACAAAAAGAGTCTAAATTAGAGTCAAATTAGACTCCTGCACAGTGCAAATGACTCCAAATGCCAGTCAGTTGCTAAGTGCCCAAAATGTGATTTTGTGATCACAAGCAGAGGGCCAGAACTTTGAATCTGGATCGCATAGCCCTGGAGAGATCAGTCGTAACTCCCAAAAATTGCTAAACAATTGGTTGTATTTTGAGAATTATCTGGACTCAATTTGGGCAGGTCACAATGCATATTTTCAAGTTGTAATGGCTATTAAGAACTTTGCTTGTTCTACAGATTTTGTTCGGTACATTACTTATTACCTGTTGTACTGTACATAGAAAGAGGGAAACACAGAGAATAGAATTCTTTATTGGCCAAGTGTGATTGTGTGTTCAATCACACTTGATATCCAATCACAGGATAGAGACTTCTCAATTAAAACAACAGTCACCCTGAAAACTACTGATCTAAGACAACGATTCACATGATTGAAAATGTATATGGAAAAAATATTTTTTAAAAATCAATGAACTCAAAAATATTCCAAGATTTCTCTTACAACTATCTGGGGAAAAAGATAAGTGTTTTATTTTAGATTGTGTTCTTATCCATACTTGTTGATGGGATTGTATAATTAATATACAAGATTGTTCCTCAAACCTCGTCAATGTACCTTATCACATTGGGGTTATGTTGCTAAGTGCTCAAAGCATGTGGGTTTTTAAAACAAGGCTATCTGAAATTGCTGGTTTCTAAAGTCTTGCAATGTCCTGGAATTGCCAGCAGGGGGTGATATGGATCTAGTTTCAGGAGAAGCCCTGACTGAAGCCTATACACCTTTCTTTTCTCTCTCATTTTTAAAGGCTTCCTGTTTTCTTTACCCAGGAAATGAGAAGAGCAGATCTTCAATGGAAAGTTTTTGGTAGTTCGAAATGCTAAAAATAGCATTAAGGTATAAAAAAGGTGGGCACCAACCTTAACAGGGGAATGATGGGTCATTTCCTTTGTGTAAACTATTAGGATGACATTACAAGCTGTTTTATTTATCAGCACAATTGTTCAGAACGGTTAAGTACCAAGAATGAAAAAAAAAAGCTCTATGCATTGTAAGGACATTTCCTTTTTTATTGAAAGAAATCAACCTGCTTGGAAATGTGACATTTTTCCTGTTCGAAAGCAGCGGGACAGCCAAAACGGGACTGGTTGGCAGTGGGTGAAGGGTTCATTTATATG